ATGATCAGGAACAATCTAACTGGAAAATAAGCTATAAACACAAGTCAAAAGAATAATGGATTAATAATAACAACCAAAAAAACCCAAAAAAACTAAAGTCGACTTAAGCTGCATAACAAAAGTGTAACATTTTGAAGAAAGGGAGGCCACCCTCCCATCATATTCTGTACCAGTTAAACCACATCTTATCACACTGATTAAGGCTTTAAGGATTTTAACAAATGCAGACTCATATGAAAGGACAATAGCCCAGCAATAACCATAGCGATAACAGAACAAGACAGCAGGTCCCATGAAGAGCTACAGAAGGAACGGAGGGATATGCACAGACCAGATGGCACGTGACAGGTACTGCTCTAGGCAAAAGGTCTTAGACATGTCCCATGTGCACCCAGATTATTAAACTCCATTAATGGAAGCTCTTCAACAATTCATATTCTTCTCTTGACCAAAGGAGCAAAGTGCAAGTCTAAGGCCTTCCAGAAGGGATTCAGGACTAGGAATTCCTGCATTGGAAGAGGGTAGAAGTGGAAAGGTTGGACTAGAGAGTCGTAACCTGAGGTTAAAAATCAAAAGTCTACAAGGGCCAGCCAATAGGTAACTTAAATGAGTCAAACAGGCCTAAGTAATGGAACGAGGACTGTACAACTGGACCATGCAGAAGGGGCAACTGCCCCTCAACTGCAGTTGATAACTTTCATGCAGGAATGAGAACTCCAAGATACTAGATCTTCTCATTGTTTTCAAGAGAACCTGGAAAGCTACATTTGTATGTAATAACCAGTGATTTTTAAAGGACTGCAATTAATTGAGCATTTCAAAACATTACATGCATCAAACAAAATAGATTCAGGGTCTTATGGAGAGGCTATAACATGTCCCTTGAGGATATCCCTCTGCCACCATCTAATTCAGGTGGTAGATTTGGCAGAACAGAAATTTTGAACAGATTCTAGACTTACTGTCACATGTTGTCAGCAATTTGAATCAGCAGACTGGTCACTTCAAGTTTGAATTCAGACACACTGTGACCCATAATTAACCAATGGCATCTGGCAAATGAGCATAACCCAAGGCTATTAAATCAAAAGAGTTGAAATTTCTACTGCATACAATGTAAATGAGGAAGAACTCTTTTCTTCTAAAAGGCACATCTTATTTTTGTAAGTTGCACATGAAAGTGAGTCAGAAAGAAGACATGGGGTTGCCTCATGTGGCAGTTAGGTTCTGTCATAAGAAGGTCACCCCCAATCTGAGTTGGTAAACAACTTCAAAACTCTTCCCTGATTCTCTAAAACTTAGTCAGAGATCCACTGGGGAAAGTTCAAGAGCCTCCTGTGAGAGAGAAGCTTCACTAAGGGAAACAGTTCTATTCAACTCTGGTCCACAGTCCTCTCTGGAAATTCTGCTGCCATGTGTAGATTTTCCATTATCTATAGATCTTTGTGCTCACAGATATTTGTGCAGCCATAGCCAGGACAAAAGCCAATCTGTCCAAAGAAAAAAGAGATTTTGATGTTTTTCTAATCCCCAGCTTCATTTCCCATTTTTAATTTTCCCCCAACACATTCAACTTTCAAAATGTAGCCAGCTATTGTGTTTAGCATCAATAATACTGAAATTTTATG